ATTTAGAGCAGATTTCTTTCAAAAAGGTTGCAATTTCTATGTAAAAAAGCACTTATTTGCACATCTGCTTCAACAACTCTAGCAGATGTGCATGCAAAGGCTAACATATGAATGTCACACGCAGTCTCACTAAAAGGTATTTTCTCGAACTGAAAAGCAAAAGACATTTCTTAGCTGTGGCTCTCAGATTTTTCTTTTTTGGTTTTTTGAGAAGGCTTAGCAGGAGTCACGTCTCGAGAAAATTTCTTTTATATCTATTTATCACTAGGAAATTTAGCTATTTCAAACCATTTTGAAATTTTTACTAGTCATTCGCGGACGGAGGAGGGAAGGGGGGGGGGGGTGGACGCGACCTGGCAAGCATGTTGCACATATATACTATAATATACACTTCTAAAGCGCAATGGTATGTGGCAAATATTAGGTTGAACCGAAAGTTCTGTCGCACAATTTTCAAAAAATCATAACTTCTTTCGGTCACGATAATTTTGCGCAACTCAAATTTTGTTTGAAAGCGTAAAGCATGTAGTTTCCAAAAGCTTTCTGGGGACTTTCCGACATGCTCAGGTGGCAGAGATAAAAATTCCGAAATTCGGATTTTTTAAGCAAGAATTCTAGAAATTCAGAAACAGCGCGCTAAAATTCAGAAAAACCATTATCTTAATTTTTGTTACATTTGATAACTATCTGAGCCAAGTTTGTGCTGATCGAGCCCTTCTTTCAGAAGTTATGATTTTTTGAAAAATAATGCCGAAAAATCAATTTCCTTATAGTTCTTAAGAAATGGATTTTTTGGCATTTTTTTTCAAAAATTCATAACTTCTGAAAGAGGACCTCGAACAGCACAAACTTGAACTCGAATAGTAATCAATAAGATAAATTAGTATAATGGCTTTTCTGGATTTTATCGCACACTTTCTGAATTTTTAGAATTCTTACTTAAAAATTCTGAATTTTGGATGATCTCGTTCTTTCATTTTTATCTCTGCCATCTGAGCATGTCGGAAACTCGCCAGGGAGCGTTTGGAAATTACATGCTTTACGCTTTCAGAAAAAATTTGAGTTGCGCAAAATCGTCGTCACCGAAAGAAGTTATGATTTTTTGAAAATGGTGCGACAGAACTTTCGGTTCAACCTAATAGTTCATCAGTGGCGTACCGAGGGGGGGGGGGCGGTGGGAAGCACTCCAAAAATTTTTTCGGAGTGCGTGGCTAACGCCACGCACCTTCTTTAGAAAAAATTTTCGGCGCCCCCCCCCCGAGCCGAAATCCTGGGTACGCCACTGTAGTTCATATATATTGCTCTTGACAGGTTCAAAGCGTCTGGGCAATTCTCGACTTCTTTTTATTTTTTGTTATCAGAACCGGTGACACTTAAAATTCGTGAATCCTTAAAATCGAGGTTATTTTTTCGTGAAGCATGGAGGAGCTTGTTCGCGCTAGCCTTGTCAAAAGCAAGATGAACATGTCAAACAGTATTCGTTGACTTTACTAGCCATGTAAAAACGCGTCAAGAAAAGATTTTATTTGAAGAAGTTCGCATTCAACGGAAGTACCTAGGTGAACACCGAACGGCTTCGGTGACTCGCACGCCAATTTTCTCCTCAAATGAGCGTTTGGAGATGTGATTCGCGCATTAGTTCTAGATCGAGGTTAGTACTCGATTATGATAGTAACCAGAATATTCGCATTTGTTCAAAAAATGCCTTTGAGCTTTCGTTGCAATTTCTCACTTCCGTAGATCTGTCAAAAGTAACCTCAGCCATATTCCCCTATCCTAAAAAAGGTCGTTCCGATATGAAACCCAATTTATTCAAAGGAACAAGGCAGCCACCAAATTGCCTCATATGATCCGTCCGAAGTTTGTTGCCTTGTTCGAAGCAGCTGTCAGAAGATTCGGCTTCTATGAGATGATAATTTGTGACGTTTTTCTTGCTCTTTCTGACACATACTAGAATTTAATAAAAGTATCAATTAATCCCCTCCCCTTCCCCTCCCCAGACAAATTGCAAGCCTAAGATTGCAGGTGATTGAAATACGATTTCATTGTAAGTTCTTGTAGGAGAACTTCTAAAATGAGCCCTGCACGTCGAGCCCTTGTATTAGTCACGTTATAAAGATGTAATGGGTTACTTGTACGTAAAATCATCCTGCTCTAGAATTTTTTCGTCGTGAACTCATTATCCACATGAATAGTTTACAAGCGACAACTTTTTGTGAATAGAAACAATCAGTTCAACTTATAGGCGCTGGAGTAATGAGGAGCTAGCAAGTCCTCTCCGCTAATTACTTTTCAACGCAAAAGCAAATGTAAAAATCTCATAAGTTGTAAACGGGTATATATGCTTGTACTGAAATAAGGTAAAAAAGACGGTTGCTTAAGAACAGCATCTCTCATCTTCATCAAATATCCTTTTAAACTGGGGGGACAGCGTCGTTAAAAAAAGTTGGAAAACATTTCTTCTCAATTTTTATCTCAATCTAGTCTTAGTATGAATTCGTATTCTTCTCAGCTTCTCTCATTTGGCAATGACAGCGATATAATTCACAGAGAAAAATTCGAGCTAACTACGCTTATCTGTGTAAATGTGTCAGCATGTCCCGTCTAGGTTACCGTATGATGAGTTATCTATTATAGAAACGAGGAAAAGGTATTGGTCAAAATGATCGGAAAGAGATGTTGGCTGTGTAGCTGATGAAATTTGATCTCAAATCTATCTTTGTTATCCGCAAAGCTTTTCCTGAAAGGAGTGTTAAAGTTTTTCTTCCAATCGCAACCTAATAATCGCAATCTTGTATTCCATGGAGTGGGAAATCATCTCATGATTGGCTTTTCGGTATAGTATTGAGTGTTGGCCTCATATACCGAAGAATAGGGTTGGACTCCTGTTGTCAAGGTTTTTGCATTCCACACGCTTTCGTCCAAGCCATCTATTGATATATTTTATTTAACTTCAACACACCTGGTTTTCACTCACCTTTGCAGCAAATGAAAAATACTGGAACAATGCTGTGCAAAAATGCTATATATATTATCAGAATGTGGCTTGATCGAAGCACAAGGAAAGAAAAGGACTACAACTCTTTTCAAAAAAATTCTTGAATAATAAAGTTTTAAGGACAGCGTTTTCAGACCCTACGAAGCATATACATCTCTTCCCATATGGCCGCTTCAACCAAGTATGTATTAGGTTGAACCGAAAGTTCTGTCGCACCATTTTCAAAAAATCATAACTTCTTTCGGTCACGACGATTTTGCGCAATTCAAATTTTATCTGAAATGAAGCACGTAGTTTCCAAAAGCTCCATGGGGAGTTTCCGACATACTTAGGTGGCAGAGATAGAAGTGGAAGAACGAGTCATCCGAAATTCGGAATATTTAAGCAAGAAATCTAGAAATTCAGAAATAGTGCGATAAAATCCAGAAAAGCCGTTACCCTAATTTTTCTTACATTTGATTACTATCTGAGTCAAGTTTGTGCTGATCAAGCCCTTCTTTCAAAAGTTATGAATGATTTTTTGAAAAACAATGCCGAAAAATCAATTTCCTAAGGATTCCCAAGAAACTGATTCTTCGGCATTTTTTTTTCAAAAAAAACATAACTTTTGGAAGAAGAGCTCGATCAGCACAAACTTGACTCAGTTAGCAATCAAATGTAAGAAAAATTAGGATAACGACTTTTCTGGGTTTTATCGCACAGTTATTGAATTTTTAGAATTCTTGCTTAAAAATTCCGAATTTTTGGGTAATCTCGTTCTTTCATTTTTATCTCTGCAACCTGTACACCTTCTAAAGTCCTTAGGAAACTCTTAAAAGCTACTTGCTTTACGCTTTCAGAAAAATTTGAGTTGCGCAAAATCCTTGTGAGGCAAAGAAGTTATGATTTTTTGAAAATGGTGCGACAGAACTTTCGGTTCAACCTAATACTAGGTTGTTTCAAATTTCTGTCCGATTTGCCACTTTTCCATTTCAAAATCTTATGACTTTTTTTCAAAATCAACAATTTTGAACAAATCAAATTTTGTTGGATTAGGCGAGTTTATGGCTATCACATGCACCGTATGCCATGTAAGGAAGGCAAGCGAGAGAGGGAAGAGAAAATTTTTTGGCAGACATATTTGGCCGCCATCATTAAGTAGTCTATACTTTTGAGGCTCTTTTGCGGCTAGAAAAAATTCGGATTATTTTTGCTGCATAGAAATTTTTGCGTGCAAATAAAAAAAACCATTATTTGAGCCCTCCTCGGCTTGCGAAAATAGCCGAATTTCTAATATTTGATTTTTTTATGCTGCCGCAAACGAAGAAAGCCAATTGGTCAACGGTTCCTGCTTGCTCTCACTTTACTCTAACATATGCATTATTGAATGCATCACCTGTCGCTAATCTAGATTGTTGTCGCTTGTTGAATAACTGAGTTTGTCATCTATTTTGAAAAAGAATTTAAAAAATAAGACGTTCTCTACGTCGGAGAAAGTACTTCTAGATGATGTTTATGACAGTGCCATACGTGCAAAACCCTGAGAAAATAGTTTTGTTAAAACAAGGCGATTGAAAATCGGACAGAACTCTTGAAACAGCCTAGTATTTCTTTGTAATGGTAAGATGCCGAGTTTACACAAATTTTGGCATTGCAAAGTAGGGAATTATAAAAGGCCGTTATTTTTTGCACCAAAATCTTATAACCTTCCAAAACGTCTCCCGCTTCTTAACATAACCTTCCATGCAGAAAGAGCAAAATAAAAGAAGGTAACATCACCTATTTTCAAAGGCATAAACTTTAGAAAAGGAAAAATTCTAGATGATGTGAAAGATATGGAGCAAACTTTCTTGAAGATAAGGCCGCAAATTTTGAAAGTCAAATTTTTCTTCACAAAACAACGAAATGGTTTAGGACGCAGTACATACAGTTTATGGAACAGATCGATTCGTTGCATTGTCATCCCTCTTAATGAGAACAAAACTTCATTTTAGCTTTCAAATGGCTTACAATCAGAAACAGTTCATGCGTAGCAGTGATACCTAGAAAGAGAGGATGGGCGATTCCAAACAGCAAGTGCGGAGAGCATGATTAGATAGGGACTGAAGAAAAACAAGCCTCCATTGCCTCCTACGCTCAGATGAGAAGGGAGAAGCTGACCGATTTCCTCCTCAGCGAACCCTTAGAAAAAATGAATCGTGCAGCTGCAGCGGTTTTGAAAGGACTTGAACGTATATGCAGTAATCGGAAGTACGAAATAACGAAAAAGGGCTATGTTGACATGACCTCTACTAATTCCTTAAGTGCTTTACAACTTTTGTTAACTCTGAGCTAGGTGTGGCTTTGACATCGTACCTTGCAACTGATCCTGTTTGTCGCTCTTTGATAGAGCCGATAATGGAGAACAATATTGGATCGCGGTCGCTTTGACGCATTGTAGTCGCATGGAATCCAAAAAGACAGCAATAATGGCTTTACTGACAGAAATTATGAACAATGGAGCTAATTTTAACTGCGAACTAGTGCTCATCAAATAACAAATCAAGGCCTTAGTGCACTATGCAAGCACAGCACAGAAATAGTGCGGGAGCGGCATGCCAATATAACTCGTGATTGTAATGCTTGCTAATGTTCATTCTATCTCAGCAACAGCACGAGGTCATGCTTCAGCTAAGCATAAATCTGTTCTGTGCGATTCTTGCGGTAAAGGAAATTCTTATTTTTGATATACACTGCACTTTAAAAATATTTAGACGATACCTCTGTATTCTTCTGCAGAACCAGAAGGAGCCAACTGTGGCAATCTTCTTCTTAGTAAAGCGATTGGAGGGGAGATTGAGGCGGAAGTGTATAAAGGGAAAGGAGTGAAAATAGTTGGTATTATTTACTTCAGACATGATTGCTTTTGATGGGTTCAGTAAGTCAGAGAATATCTTAAGATTGATTCATACAGTGCCGGACATAATTATAGAGAGACTCTAGAAATCGTCGTAATTTTCGTTCTTGTCAGTGAATCTGTCTGAAACTTTGCTGTATGGTGCGCATGTAAGCCTACCATAACTCCTCAGAACGGCTTCCAATCCCGTTCATTTCGAACGCAGAAAAATGGAAAAATTCGAAAAAGTCTGTTTTGCAAGCTGGACATAATTATAAGGACACCTGGCCTTTTTAAACATTATCGCATTCCTTGACTTCCGAGTTTTTTTGTAGAGTTACATCCTAAAATATGAAACTTTTGCAGCACCTAGGACCTGTCATGCTACTCAAGGAAAGACGATCCTTGCATTTTTCGTTTCCAAAGGCATCAGAAGTCAAACTGCGTCAACAAACAGCTGGTTTGAGGAGTTTTCAAGCCCGCGTTCATTTCAAATGACAGTCCTGGAATACACTTAGCCTTTTTGATAGATAAGGTGAAAAGCGCTTTCGTAAACTCCGCGTAATCGCTGATATTGACAATCAGACTTCAATCTCACCATAGGGTTGTCGCGCTTTTACACCACAAAACTCACTTTCCAATGTTCGTGAAGTGATGGACTCGATTTATAAAAATTGTTTACATGGAGATTCATCTTTTGCAACAACTTTTAAATTTTTTCTAGTGCTGCAGTTGCCATTTAGATCTGAAATAGTGCCAACGAAAATTCTATGCGAGCAGTAGATTCAACATAATCACAAATCTCACTATTTTATTCTCTGTTTCATGTCGCATTTTGCGCGGTAGCTGAGATTAGCAAGATTTTGAAGTTTCAAGCGGTCTCCTGTTCGATTTCTTGATTTGAGTTGGATATGATTGTGCAGGGTGCTCGACTCAACTCTCAACGGATGACAACTGCGGCTGAACCAGAATGTGCAACCCCGAAATTTTTTCCTGACTAGGCACACAAGTTTATTGTTGTACGTGTATTGTTGCGGCTACATTGCAGCGTTTTCTGTGACTTGAAATCGAGTTTTGTGGTGCAAAACCGCGACAACCCTATGGTGAGGTTGGAGTCTGTCCGTCAATATCAGCGATTACGCGGAGTTTACGAAAGCGCTTTTCACCTTATCTATCAAGAAGGCTAAGTGTATTCCAGGACTGTCATTTGAAATGAACGCGGGCTTGAAAAGTCCTCAAACCAGCTGTTTGTTGACGCAGTTTAACTTCTGATGCCTTTGAAAACGAGAAATGCAAGGATCATCTTTCTTTGAGTAGCATGACAGGTCCTAGATGCTGCAAAAGTTTCATAATCTGGGATGTAACCCTACAAAAAAATTCGGGAGTGTAGAAATGCGATAATGGTTAAAAAGGCCAGGTGCTCTTATAATTATGTCCAGCTTGCAAAACAGACTTTTTCGAATTTTTCCATTTTTCTGCGTTCGAAATGAACGGGATTGGAAGCCTTTCTGAGGAGTTATGGCAGGCTTACATGCGCACCATACAGCAAAGTTTCAGACAGATTCACTGACAAGAACGAAAATTACGACGATTTCTAGAGTGTCTCTATAATTATGTCCAGCACCGTATAACCTATTTTGACAAATTCTGCACTGGTAAGCACAAGCAGTATGTTCTTTATTTCTAGATAGAGTCGAATAGTAAGTGCGGATACTGCCCCAAACTTTCGAAATTTTGTGTATATGTAGACTCGGTCCATATGAACTACGACAGCACATACAGCTAACAAAAACTTTCTTCCTGTTGGCCTCTTTGAGAAATTAACAAGAACGAAGACTCATGCCATCGTATGTTATGCGCAAACATACGGCTAATTCATAAGATTGACTTAACCTAAACATCTACCGGCTACAACTACTCTACGGTTTTTCTTTAACTGCAAATCTGGCAATCTAGCACAGATAAGTTTTGCTAATTTGGTGCTCTAATTTTGCATTTCTGTATATTTTGACGAAAATCTACATTTGGAAGGCGCGGAAATGCTGCGTGTATGGCAACTGAAAATTTTTACTCATGGTTAGTATTTTTTCAAAGCTTTCTTAACGTTTTCAAAAAAAAAGCGGATTAATAAGCCAGATTCAAAGTTTTGCGCAGGTATTTTCTCAAAAGTGTTAACCAAAACTGTTTTTATTGCTAGACGAAAAACAATTGAGAGGCTGGTACCATAATACCATTTCCTGAGAAATCAAAGTGGAGTAGTGGAAATCTCATCCTTCCTACTAACTTGTAGTATTTGCAATGTTTATTTTTGAACAAGGACCTCATGAATACGTTGTCTTAACTCAACCACTATTAAGTGAATTAGCTATTATTTGACTTATAAGTGATGCATATATAATATTTACGGTTACCGATTTCAACAAAAATATTCTAGGACCTAGGATTTCACGACACCACATTATTCATCGGATGCGTTGGTCTGGGAAGTTTCACTTATATCGAAGTTTATGATGAAGTGGTTTGCGTGCTAGAAGTGCAGAGGTCACGAGATCCCTACCACAATTGTGTAAATTATCTAGATATCAAGGACATATGCAAGTTCATCCCCAAAAAAACAAAATAAAATTATCTTTTGAGTGCTCGTCTCCTGCAGCTGGTGCATAAACAAGAGAAAATTAATTCGTGAAGAAAATGTAAGTCGGAAGCTGGGAGCTGGACTCACAGTGGAAGAGGACACCGCTCTCCTGATTTCCTTCCCGTGTTAGAGCCTTTCTTCGTCGTTTTCTCCTCTCCAATGTGGATTTTCGGATAAAGTATAGCATATTTTTGTTTAAGCACAATTCCAGCAGTACTGTTCGCGGTGCAACTCGTAGTTTGATATGGAGATAACCACCAAAGATTACGACCCTTCATTTTCAACATGTTTTCATTTCGCCAATTTTTAGAATTTTCATATGAGACTTCTAAAGGTGCTTTGAAAGTTGCCTGATAGGGCAAATTTTTGCAAGTGATTGCAATTTTCTGTAATTTTCTGGCATGCTTTTTAAAAACTTGCCGAAAATTTTTTCCAAAAATCTTGAGTTTTGAAAAAATCGCGCAATACGTAGTTGCAAAAGAACATCGCAAATTTTACAAAATATTGAAGTTCCAAAACTCGTTCGCTCTATAACCGATTTTAGCAGATTGAGCGATTTCGTTCCGAAGTATGTAAATTTTGGATTTTAGGGTACATCAGTGCGTAAATCTTAGAAACAAGTCGATTTTGTCTGTAACGCTTGTAGTTCACGAAAACATAACTATCAAGAAGACGAAAAGAAGATTTATCAAATGGTATACGAACTTTCCACCATTTCGTATCTAAAGGGCATAAAATACGTCAATTGTTGGAGGCCACTTTAGACGATATACTTAGTATTCCAAAAAGCATGCTAGAAAAATACAAAGAGCTGCATGAATTCGCAGAAAGTCTGCCCTATCAGCCGACTACCAAATCGCCTTCAGAAGTTTCAGACAAATGTTTCGAAATTCAACCGAAGACATGATAAAAATGAAGGGTTCCAGCGGTTTAGCACTTGCTCGAGGAGAGAAGAAAAAGGTATGCAACAACCTTTGAGGTTTGAGGATCGTTCGGAAAGCCTATTCCGTTACTTTGAGTGACTTGAAGATATACCTCGAATGAGTGGCTTTTGGGCACCTTTTTACCTCAAACATTCGAACAGGTGCTCCATGGAGCAAGTCGGTTTAACACTTGTTGTCACAGTTAGTTTTGGATAATTGCAAACAGAGCGGCAATGATGAAAAGTGTTAACAGCAGAGAAATTATAGGAGCAGATAAACAGTAAATTCACTAAATCATACTGTCTAAGTGAGCTAACCGCTTTGTCTTGGACTTTCATTCATATAAAGCTAACCTAACAGACAACCAACCGATGGCCTTTTTTGAGGTGCATACTCTTTGGTCTCGGTCAGGGGGCGCGGGAGAGGTGGACTTCGTGTTGACATCTCTTATACCTTCTCTAAAATTTACCTACAAGCACGGATCTAATCTTATATATAAAGCTGAATGTCTGTTTGTATGTATGTATGTATGTCTGTATGTATGTCTGTATGTATGTCTGTACGTATGTTCCGAATAGAAAATTCCATTTCTGAACCGATCCGGACCAAACTTGGCACACATACACTACGGGCCCCGGCGGGTGTCATAGGCTACTTTTCGTCATCGATCGGTATCGATTTTATCGATTTTTATCGATTTTTTTGCAAAGTTTGAGCTAGGGGGCTGGGAGTTGGCACAGGGGGGTAATCGAGCATGCTGATCATCCCCAAGGGGGGTGATCAGCATGCTCGAACACCCCTGTGCCAAATTCCAGCCCCCTAGCTCAAATTTTCAAAAAATCGATAAAATCGATAAAAGTAATGGACGATCTTGAAAACTAATATTGTATTCGTAATCTGCATGCTCGATTACCCTCTGTGCAAACTCCCAGCCCCGCAGGTCGGACTTTGCAAAAAAATCGATCAAATCGATAAAAGTAATGGACGATCCTGAAAACTAATATTGTGTTCGT